GAGAAGACTCCAAACCTCCCTCCACCCGCTCATTGCAGTGTTGATGCATGTGTGTTCTAAGGTGCAGGTTGGGCAGCTTTGATAAAATATTGAGTCAAAATTTTACCCAGTTGTTTGGGTTGAAGACCCTCCGAAGAAGCCACATCAGTCTTCACAAACTGCCAGTTTCAACTAGACTGACCTGAACTGGACTTCTCCACTACTATGACATTAAACATGGTAAGTAAAAAGTGAATTCTAACAGTTTGAAAATCACAGGGTTGATAATGCAATTTATAGGTTTAATCTAGAACTTTACCAACTCATTAAAGGCATTTTAACATTTTAATCAGCCAGCTTGTGGTGAAAAAAGTTATTCCTACTTAAAAATACTTGATATCATCTTTTAAAGTTATTATTTGAAATGAGGTTGAGGTTGTTCTGTTTGACAAACTATTTAGAGATCACTGTATTTAGAACAAAGAAAGTATCAGATTGGGTGTTGCATTTGTGGGAACAAGGTAAAAAAACGATAAAGGAACACAGGCTATCTAAACTATTTCATTTAATTCAATTATTTAACTTAACCTAAATAACCTCAATGTTGATAACAACATCTTTATTTTAAAAATTAAAGGAAATGATAATTTGTCCCATTTAGATTTTTTTAAAGATAGATTGCGCCAATACTGTGACCCCATTTTTTCCCTCATACACTAGACCGCGCAAAGGGCATGTGCATCCCTGTGCTTAGCTTGCTTGCTACTAATAAAAACATGATGGCAACAGGAACATACGTGAGTATTTATACTGCCACCACCAATATTTAGCCACCATCTTCAAACCTCACTCTGAGCCCTCAGTAGCTTTGAAGTCCACCACTCCAAAAATTACGTTTAATCAAGGTAAAATAACCTGGCAGGGCTGAGAATGTTGGCTGCATTCAGACCCTGCTCAGTATACAGCTAATCTGCTCCTCACTTAGAGGGAGGCAGATTAGCTGTATACTGAGCAGGGTCTGAATGCTCAGTATAGGTGAAATCAGCCTATGATTACTTCACAGACGAAAGTCACTGACTTAATTTGATTGGTCCCGGGTACACAAGCTGTGCAAACACACTTGCTTATACTGTATATTTTTTGGAACTTATATCTATGTACATTCACTTGAATGAAAATGAAAAATGAGAAATGCTATCCTTGCTAACTTTTGAATATTGTGATGGACCGAGCAGTGATGGAACGTCAGGCACATGTTAAAGTGCAAAAAGAGTTTTTATTTGACCTTAAAACACACTCTTCTAGAATCTTCTCGATCAAATGGACCAAAATGGCAAGGCCATGATGATCCACTTGGCAAAGTGAATCCGTTGGGTATCTTTGTTTGGCTTTCAGACATCAATTCTGACAGCTACAAAACCAAACGGGACAGGCGCAAAAAAAATGAAAAAAAATGAAAAAGCTCGCAACAAACAATACTACTAACTCAAACAAACTAACCTGCCTAAACAAGACAAAGGGGAAACTTAAACAGTGGCTGATCAGCCAACAAATACACACAAAGGCATAGAACACACAAAACCCAACTAAAACTAACATAATAAATCCCATTTCTACCATGCTCCAGAATT